GTGTCATGCCTCCATACACCATCCATATAACTTTGACGGCACCCCTATTCAAGGTGTATTCACTTTTAAGGGTCTTGGGATTTTCTACTCCCAGTCTTCGAATTTTGAGAAGCACATTAATGTAACGTAAGATCCTAGGCTTTGTCATGCGTAGCACTAAGTATTTCACTACAGCGAAATCACTTCGCTCCCTTTTCTTCGCAATGGTTAGCATTTTCCTTGCAAGTACGGTGTGATAATCTGGCACCCGAATAACGTGGCCAAGGATCAACTACATATTGAGTTCAAAATAAGTTTGTTCTATATCTATCACGTTTGTTGAGTATGGATCACCTTAAAAATGTCTACAGCCTAATCCAAAGCGTCTCTCCTGGATAGCACCTTATACTATATAAAATATCATATTCATTCCCCAGCATTCCTACGTACTCCACATCTTATGGACGAAACCATCCACTTCACTGAATAATGAGTTTTATGAATTTTAATGATTACTTAGCTTGAAATATTTTTTGTTCTTTGGTCTTTAATGACTTTATTAAATTTGTTGAAAATGTATGTTTCACTGAATCACAATGTGTTTTTTTTTTTACAATAAATAAATAAATAAACAGTTCCTGTACATCATAATCAAATATCACGTGACTATCGATTGTACACAATACAACTAAAACATCAAATTTCATACACATACTTTTGAAGTGATGTCTTATAATTATTGAACACATTAGAAAAATTATGGAAAGATTAACTGTGAGCCTCTTTGTGAAAATGAAGCTCCATGTTGTATTTAAATCTTACTCACTGACGAATGTGGCAATGAATAAATTTGAGCAAAATGTGGGACAACGAGATAGCTTGATTTTTGTTCATTAAATATTTCGAACATTATACTATTATAATTGGTTTAAAGTGATTAACTAAAATCTAATTCATAACTGTTATCCATGAAATGGTCTTACATTGTTTTTTATTTGTCTGTGTCATATTTTATAGTTCATGAATAATTATATAATACGTTGACCTACTATAATTTATTTATTTCACATTCGGGTCAATGCATAACTAATCACAATAATTACGATTTCAAGAAGAAAAGTTGTTTGGTTAAAAATACAAAGTATAAAACATTAATTGATAATATGACTATTATGCTAACCGGATATTAATGGGTGGCCTGACAATAAATTGATATTATTTAAAAAACACGAAATAAATATGACCTCGGACTGTGCAACAACAATAATAACTGTACTATTATAAATTACAATGTTTTTATGTCAGAACCGTTTTTTTTCTCTTTCATTCAAAATTATCAATAGTTTTCTCTTTCAGCCATTATCCTGTATTATCCAGTATCCATAGTTACGGCTGAAGCTACACTATGCAAAACTGTGGCACGACTACTTATTACTTTACAATGTGTTCTCCGGGTTTTCTTATAGAGTTTGATGATTAAATTCAAGAGGGCCAGAGTGGAAACGAAATTAATTATTTGGTTTTTGAAATTGTAAACTTTTGCAAGCAATTACATTTTAGAGCATTCCCCGATTTTTTCTAACTGATGTATAACTCTGTATGTTCAATAGACACTTTTTCAGGGGATCTGAAACCGATATTTTTCATACCGAAAAAACATTTTTCATTCAAACGCATATACTGATTGGTTTAATCGTGGGATAGAGATTCTAAATACATGTTTTAAATGTTTTGATTTTTCGTTTTACCTTCTTTAGATATTAATTATAACTTTGAAAAAAACTTGGGCTTACGTCTATCAACATTTTACTTAAAAAGTACAAACATGTTTAAAATTAGGCAAATTGTTCTGATAAAAAAATAAAATGAAATTGTTCATAAGATCAAACTACTTAGACTTTAAAATCATTAATAATTTAAAATCCATTCAAGTATGTATAAATAATTAGAATGCGGAAAAGTATTATATATATATTAGTCAAAATGAAATATTTTAAAACTATAAACATCAACACGTTCATAAAAAAATTTGGAATAATAATATAATAAGTGCCTATTGGTTATAACGTATCACGCATAGCATCATTATTTCAAAAGATACCTAATACAAATTAATAAAAAGTGATAGTTAAATTTATATCAGTTATCAATATTTAAACGGGAACATCAATTGCATCACCATTCACCAACTTAATATATCAAATAGGTATTGCTTGAATTTGCTATCAAAGTTTTGACGGATCAATAACGTTTTTATCAATTTTGACCAGTTTCACTTGTATTGTTATAGTACCATATTTTACCTATGTTTATGCTATTTACATAATATTATTTTACCTCTACGGGCCTACTTTTCTGAAAAAATTGGGTTTTCGACTTACGATTAATGAGGAATCATAGTTTTTCGACTGCTATTTAAACTGCTGGTGTCTTGTTTGAGACTTCTATACATGATTACGGGCCACTGCAGTTATGGTACTCAGCTTTTAATACGTCAATAGGCGAGTCCTCACAATGATTTCCAATTAATTTTCGATGCTATGGGGACGTAACGCCGAGTGAAACGTTTAAAAATTAGCGTGAAACACCAAAAATTGTTTTTTTTTTTGGGGGGGTTGCAAGTTTTAAAATAATTCCACTGGCTTCAACGAAATCGTTATTTTCAAAGTTTGTGCGGAAAACCCGGAGACACCTTGTATGTACAGCTGTGCACTTTGTTGTTACTCACCGCGGTGACCGTATAATAATATGTTTAGCACGCAGCACGTAGTCGTTCGCATCGTATATATACTGCAATGCGCGCCGTCTGAACAGTTTCCGTCTCACCCACATTATGGGTGGTTATGGTGCTCACGTATATTATATGACTGTTTTTTATACAAATTCGATGATACGTCGTCGTCGCTATAATACCGCGAGGCTAGAGCGGAAAACCGACGACGATGTCGGTCTACAAAAACTATACGCTTTCCGAGCATTTAAAATAACACGCGCCATACGTGCGTGCGCGTACGTGTGTGTCGGAACTCACTATTCGATACGACCCGGAATATATCATCGACTCACGTACGCTCGATACCTATCGTCGATAGACGTATAATTTGTTTACGTTGAAACTGTTTCGCTACGACGCGTCCAAGATGTCCTCTGTTCAACAATGTAATAATAATATAATGTCGTGGCACGTTTAGAGACGACGGGTCTACTTGAAACGCCCACGTTTTTCGTTTGATCGAAACGAGCATTTCACGACTGCTGAACGAATTTAAAAGCAAGAACATTATAGTCTCTCCGTCGCGGAATCACTCGAAAATTTTGTTTTTTTACGATTACGCTTGTTACTCGCATTGAAATCGGGGGGAAAAAATACAGAAAAATAAACACAGATCACGAGAGGAGCACACTTATGACGATTTTCTTGCCTTCGAGTTTGATGGTGGCCGATCAGTAAATACATTCCAACAACGTTTTATAACCCAACAAAGTAGAATAAAATCTGAGCGTAAACTCGCCTTTTGCGAGACTAAACATTTTGGCGCAACTACATTCTCTATCGAAAACCCCATAACCCGGCATAATATTACTGTGTTCGGTCACTCTGTATAGTCCGTGAAGGCGCTGACATAATATTTTACAAGTCCAATGTTTCGAAACTCCCCTGAATCGCGTCTGTTTCGATAAGTAATTCTAAAACACCGCCGTCGCCATTAATAATCCGCTATTGTAATCTCCCGTAGTGGTGTAAAATCGATACGGGAATATTATTTTTTCAGTGTCCCAACTATATTATAGCCGTTTCGGGACAGGTGTCGGGGCGTTTTGAAATGTTCGTTTTTGGTCGGATACGAATCGATTGAAAAACAAAATTACAAAAAAAAAAAACATGCAGTGTTCTATACGATATTATATATATATGTACAGAGAGCCTGAATATCGATTCCGAAACACCGTTAAAAAATGTTAGACGTCATGTCAAAATAAACAGTCGCGCGGAAGCCGTTTTCCGGTGGAAAATAAATTTCGAGCGATTCACAGCGATTGTCCGTACAAACAAAACGAAAACCGAATACATAATTTACACACACGTATCAGATCGACATTGTTTTGTTTTCACCGTAGGCAGATATACTTACCTACTTTAAATTATTTAGGTTTAATATTAATACGCTGTGCACATCATAAATACCGATATTGTGTCTGATCGTAATAATATTACAATATCCAGGGCGCAACGTCATTCACTGTTTAGTGCGTTGGAAATAGGTAGCATCGATTATTAATATTCATTCTCGAATCTGCCGATGTTGTCGGCGTTAAAATTGAATGACGTAGGTACCTGTAATGAATTTAAGCCGAATCGAAAAAGACATATTTTTGATATAAGATATCGTATACGATAATTTCGGAAAATGATAACGTTGTTATTATAACGCTAAATTGACACTATGTATAGGTCCACGGAAATAATTACCATTTGGTGACGATAGCGGTTTCCGAATCGGAGAAAATCTTTTAGTAGGTTACTTCTCAAAATACTGGAGTTTATAATCAACCAATATTAAATGCATTTATATATATACTATACACATTTTTATTGTAATTATTATCCAATTATTGAACTTACTAGCTGCCTAATTTGTCTTTTTTTTCGGGGCCACGAGTATTGTACAGCCCTCGGAACTCCATGATAATCGTAGAACCATGGCTCGAGGATTCGGTGTTTATAAATAAATTACAACACGATACGACTTATCTCTAAAACGACTATAATATGATTATCAGAAATACAACTATTAAAACCCGTTTCTTTATTTTATATCATCATTATTATAATAATATTGTAATTCCTGTGTCATATCATTATTATTACTATTGGTATTATGAGTTATATTTGATGTCTTGCTTATGGTTTTTTTGTTTACGTTTTTCCTTCGTTTATATTTTTTTATATTGTCGACGTGCATGTTGAGTGTGTCTTTTTCCGTTTGTTTTCGTTTTTCCATTGCCTTGCCCAACACCAGGAGATCTGTTAGCAGGCCTGAGCAAGTTCGCCAAGCTGGCCCGGTCCGTGACCAGGAGCAAGACGCTGGTGTCACAGTTCTCGTCGCATCCCGTTTCCATCAAGGACTCTACCAGGCATGTCCAGTCTCATTTAGCGCACGTGAGTACCACGGGATTTAACCGTTTTTGTAATGCTTATCATCTTATATATTATCGTCGTTCTTTTCGGACGTTGATAAACTTAGAATTCGAGGACTGGATCCGAACAGAAATGGAACCCAAAAAATCCTTAATAATTTGATAGCTGGAACCGAAATGAAATATTTTAAAATAACCCTAGTCGGATTCCTTAATTGGGTTTTTTTGAAATCCATAACCTTGACCAGAACTTTTTTTATGAATAAATCACAACTAGAATTAAAAAAAAAATAAATAAATAAGGTACCAGTCCTTGATTTTTTTTATATAAATTAGTGGGGTGGCTATGTATTACGGTGGTTGTAACGTCCAAAATGAATTGGATACGCATCTGCTATCCCCGGTTTTATCTTTTACTACCCTGGTACATCTATGAGCCACTGGTACTATTAGGACTCTATGTCTAATGTAGTCCACACTCAAACGAACTGACGTTTGTTTTGGACGGAGAAGGGGTTGGCGGGGTAAACACAACGCGCGGTGGAGGAGACGACTGCTATGACGAGCGTACATAGGGACTTTTCGTCAGGACCATCACGTCGTGTGCAAGATTAATAATACATGCCACATGGCTTATACGCAGAGTGTGACAAAAACAAATGACAAATGTGATTGCGCAACTGCGCAATAACTTTTGATTTGAGCTTGATGATTTTTTAAAACCGAATCTTGAAAAATTATATGATATGACTAAACTATAACTGTCCTAGTTTAAATATTGATCAGAAAAAAAGTTTGCACCTTGTTAGTTACCTATACCTACGTTTATCAGAATATCTTTCTGCCGAACATTTTATCTATGACCCATAGGATTCATTAAAAACCCCTTCGAAAACCAGTTGAAAAGTAATCTAACAGTAAATATTTGTACAACTATTATACAACTAAAAAAATGCCAATAAGTTTATGCCACCTAGGTTTTTACCATGGTCCTAACTTGCAAATATATTATACATTTATTATTATATGTCCAACTCATCTATAATAGCAATAATAAATAAATTACAATTTTTCATATTATTATGTAACATAATATTATGCAGTCCACTCAGAGACTGTATATATTTATTATTATACAAGAATATAGAAGTAATTATAATAAGATACAATGCGACGAAAACAACTTTCGTCTCAAATATCGAATCGTGTTTTTTTCATTTTGCCCTAGTTAATACCAAACAGCAAATAAAATATTTTATTATTATTTCGACAAAATCATTTATTCAATTTAAAAAAATAATAACAATAATAACAATAACACAAAACACATTGTTAATAATGTGACAGGTTTTGATATTACACTTTGTTTTGCGTCATATTATACGTCATATAATGTTTAACAAAGGAAATCGTAGGAAAGTTCATCAAATATCAACAAAGAAACTATGTGTACCACAGTAGTGTATTAAGTTTTGAATAACAATACGATGTCAACTCTGACAAAGATAAGCTTTCTAAAACAAAGAAATGAAAGAAGTTAATAACAATATTATATTATTAATAAGATATTGCACTTTTGCGTTTTGTGTGGAGGACGAGATTCCAACAATAATAATTGTCAACTTAATGGAAAACCCCATAAATCATAAATATTGTATATTTGGAGTAATATTTTGAAATCTGATCGTCGGTATAAAAAACAAATAAAAACCATATATAACACTATAGAATTTACTGATAATTATTGTTGAGGTAAAACAAAAAGCTCTTTAAATGAGAAATTAAAAATCTTGTTTTTTTTCAATTTCGTTTTGCAAAAGAAACATTTTCAAACATTGCAAAATACGGTTCATTATTGTAATCAGCGTTTTAGATTTTATTCAAAATGAGTGCGTCTAATTAGAAATCTGAAGATAACTTTTTTTCCCCATTGTATCAATGAAGAAACGAAAACCTTATTAACTCACGTTAAATAAATTACACCCGGCAGAGTTATTAACATAAAATAATAATAATAATAATAACAACAATTTTTTGTGCGCTCCCTTCAAGGATTTGACATTTTTTTTTCATCAATAATTATTTAGGTTTGAAACAGCGAAAAATACAGTCTTGGCGTTTTTCTCATTTTATGTCATGGCTACTCCCACGAGATTTTTATTTTAGTACACAAATTTCACTTTTTTCACGCCCACTCTCAATCACCTCTCTGACGTTTAATCATACTGTATTTCAGATACGTATCCTCGAAATATCTATTTAAAATCATTATTGGATTTTACCTATCAGAGAATGGAATCTTCTAAATAATTCGTGACAATGTATTAAATATGATATTTACTACAGTCTACAGGTTATTAGAATTTTCGAGATACAAATAAGTCCGATGACCAATTTATTATTAATTTTTATGATATAATTATCTACCACATATTATTATGTCTTTCACTGTTTGCAAGAAAGTTTGGATAAGTTGTGGATTAATCCATTGTAAAACCTAATAACTGTTAGAGAAATTCCTCTCATAGTCAACAGAAAAAATGGTTTGACCCGACGACTTATTTTACATATTTCATATTATAATATGTGTATTGATTGTTAATTTTCTATAGTTTTTTTTTTAATCACCATTTTCTTTAAAAAATACTAAAATGTATGATGACGGTCAGACATATTGTGTGTAGGTACGCCAATCGTTATGATATTACGTTAAGACGTAATAATTATCAGCCTTTCAACTCGACGAGCAATAAATTAACGGAAATCAACGTCAAAACTCTGATGTTCTGGACCTGTGAGTTTGGAATTTTTCTATGGTCACGGTGGATTACGCTTTTTTTTTGCACGGACCTCGATAAACGTCTCACCATGATCATTATTGCTCTATGGTGTGTATCGTATATATGTGTTTTGCAGAGAGGTGTTCACACTGGATGATCATTAATTACTCGATCGTCCATTGTTGAACCACCGCACCGTGACCACCGGAAACGACTACCCCGGTATTATATCCGGAAGGCGGTGGAGAGAGATTGGCAGTATATATAGCAGCGAGGGATATGCTGCACAAAGAAAACGCGTTAGGGCACCCTGTACGGGTGTCGTGGTTATTCCGCCAAAATCGTGAGGTTTCAGACGATTTTTAAAAGCTGACTCTGTTAAGTAGGTATTATTAGGTTCTAAATAATAATATTAATAATATTGGTAATAATAAAAATAATAATAATAATAATAATAATAATAGCTAGTAAACTCTTATCGACCCAAAAATGTATACATTTCTTTGAATGGTAGGTCAAAGGTTAGATAAAATCGTTTTGAAACAACATGAGTCGGAAATGGCATGTAAACCTACAGTTAAATTACAGGTACGTGTGACAATGGAAGCTTAATTAGTTTTGTTTTATTACTCTCTCATGTTTTGAAGGAACCTTTATTGAAACCGCTTGTAAAATAATTGCTCATAATTGATAAAACGCAGTTCGACAGTGTTTCTAAAAGGAACTACAATAGTAATTATAAACAAAAAAGTTATACTTGTATCTAAACGATTGACAAGACTGTAGGACTTTAGTTAGGCACATTTTAATGTTCCAAAAACAGAGTTTTACTCATCAAAAGTTCTCTGTGTTTTCACCAATGAGAAAATAGTTCATTTAGATAAGATACTTTGACGATATAATATGACTGCGTGATTTGAAATTGTTTAACCCACAGTCCACTTGAAGAGAAAAATTATCGAAAACTAGTATTTTTGTGTGGGCGGGTGGGTGTAGTTGGTGTGTAAGGATAATCTGTTAGACCGATCTCCATCAAGTTTATACTTCTAATCGGTGGCAAATAACACTACACTTTCTTCCGAGATGGCACATGTGACGTGTCAAAGCTTATATTACGATCTCGATGTCTTCGAGACACTCAAAACGATTAAAAGCTAATGTCGGCTTGACAATGTTTGTTGGAGAAATAATTGTGCACGAGAGGTATCTTATAACCAAAGTGAATATCTCATTTATTTTTTTACAACCGAAATTAAATTAAACCTAAATATGATATTTTTTATTACGACGTACTTAATATATTTGTATATACATAATCAGAGTTTAAAATTCGTTTCGGTTATAACCGGAAAAATGTGCCAAACCAATATTATAATGATTCGTGTAGTTTTATCAGGTCTAAATAGCACTTTTTGTTTAACGACTTTACGGTACACTTCAACGTAAAACACGTCGAAGCTTATTAATTCAGAAATATGACGTACATTACCCGACCACCGGACAACGTGAATATTATAAATTACAATAATGCTACCTTCCTATACCATAACGATATCGATTTAATGTGTTTTCGTGTAATTCCGTTATCCTAATATAATTATAATAACATAATAATATTCTAAATGGGGTTCGTAATTTTAAGTTAAAATATTATGAAGCTAATATGCTCTAAAAACCTCTACAAATGTTTATCTTATAAATGAGAAAAACATGCAAAAATATAATCTATATACATCAAAATATGCAAATTAAAAAAAAAAAAAAAACGAGGAAGTCGCTATGTATAAGATGTCATGTAACTCATCGTTGAATAGGTCACTGTAATGGATGTGTTACATTTAACCTCAACGATAAATCACTGCATACGAAAAACCTTTTCTGAACAGAAATGGTCAGTCAGCAAAAATGTTTAAGTTAATTCTTACGAAAAAATAACTTACATTATTTTGTGATTTTTTGAATTTCGTAAAAATGTTGGTAAAAAACGTTTATATAAAATTGAACTACAATAGTTCGATAATTTTGTATTGTGATCAGAACACCTTATGAGGGATCTGGTATTACATTTTCAAGTTTTTTTTCTAAGCAATGTATTGGTATACATAAATATAGTGTAAAAATAGATAGTAAGTCTTTTAAGAGATAATATAATAAATTAGTACAAGGAAAATTTAAGACATTTTTATAAATGTCTGGTGAAAAATTCAATTTTCTACAGATCAATTTTAAATTACATCACAAAAACAAAATCGATTTTACTGGAAACTTATTTTGGATGAAAATTCTCAAAAATGTTCCCCAAATTTATTCTTTTTTATTTTGAAAAAAAACTGTACTGTTCTAGTTCTAAACTGAATTTGTTGAAAAATATTCCCCCATCTTGAAGTACTGACTATGTTCAATTTTTAACTGCAACCTTTCAATACTGAACAATTTTTCTTAAATAAAATGTGTCTTTTGACAAAAAAAATTATTGTGTTTCAATATAATACAATCAGATACACAAATTGAATAATATAATCTACATAAAAATAAATTTTATTTTCAAACATCATACTTAAAAAAATTTTTAATAGATTAATTATTTAAAAAAAGTAATTATATATGTACTTCAAAAATTAAAATTAATAATAATATTGAAAATAAAATAAATAAATATTTTTTCTCATATTTAAAAAAATTATATTCCAAGATATTCTAAAGAAGCTTAATATTCCCTAACCCATAAAATATAAAATATTCTCAAATATGCGGGAAAAATTTTTTTCTGAACTTTGTGTTTAATGAGTTGTTTTTATTATTCATTTCCACCAAATCGCATACACTCAATGAATGTAATGGATATGCAAAATAAAAAATCTGGAATCTATCAAAAACAATTTACTTCATGACGGTGGTTTTCCACCTGCGCTTCCAGGAATTCAAAACAGTTTTTTTTTGTTTTCAAAATCGTTTAATTTTGTTATAAGTCTGCTAATTTGCATATTCGAATCACTAGCATCACCTATCAGAATTATTCCTTTGATCAGTTGGGTAAAAAATAAAAATAAAATAGTGACTGGAAGTGTACAGTATCTTTTATATTGACGTACAAATGGTTTTTGTTTTTTTAATGAAAATAAATATATATTATAGAATTGTTTTCTACATTTGTACTGACAGTTCTTACGAGAATACAAAATGTCTTACACACGCAGTTGTTTTTTACAATCGTATTATATTAATGTATTAAAACGATGGCAGCTATTTCATTGTAATGGCTCCTGGTAATCTTTTTTTTTTAATGAAATCATGTGGCAGTCAGATAATTTTTGGTCGATTCTTTATTAACTGTGACCCTCTAATGTCTTTGTAAATTAATCAAAATAATTAATAATTTAGGAATTTAAGTATATTTCATATAATCATAAATCATTGCTAATTTTTTTTAAATTTTCTTTTAATTTACCTAATTTGGGTCAAACTAATAATAAATGTATTTTTCAAAAACTAAATTATATTTTAATTTTTAGCACACAAAAAACAAATACATTCGTTGTGTTTTATTTTTATTTCAGTAAGTGCCCACTTAAAAAAGTATTAATGGCAGTTATATTTTTATTTTAATTATTAATAAAATTACTAAATTTTAGAGGTTCGTAGTTTTAAAAGTAAAAACAAACTTAAGTATTGATGATTCGGCCAGGAAAATAATCATTACCAGAATATTATATCGAAGAAAACAGACAATCACCACCATCGGAAGAAATTAAAGTGATTAATAATCCAAGTATAATAAGCTACAGACGAGTTTATGAATTTGAAGAAAAAACAAAATCTTTTATGTATCGCAATAAACTTAAATTCCTATAAACTATTATATATTGCAGGCGTTTCATTTGGTGCTGAATTGGACGTTTCGATATCAATTCGGAATTTCTTCTCGTGACGATATATATTATTATATACTCGATTCCGTAAAATCCTTTTGCGAGCACAAAAAAAACTATAACAACATATATATATATATCGTTCTCGCTAATCGAACTATATTGGTCGTTATTGTCCATATACAGTGTTCGATTTTGTCCTCCTCCTTTTCACCGTAGCACGTACCTTAAACACATACGAGATGTATTTTTTTTATATTACAAAAACGTGACCATCGCGAAAGACCTTTGAAGAACGACCTTTTTGAAATCCACGTAGCGGAACGATCAGTCGAAAACTAATATATTTGAAACGTTATGTGTAGCACCGGGAAAATTACGCCAACGTCACGAATCATAGTGAGCTGATTAACGAAAAGACAAAATCCAAACGAGCCAAGTCAAAAAATATAAAATAAAATTCGTTACTTTCGTTGTGTATGAAAATCAATCAAGTCTAACTTACCCGCAGTCTTATATTATCTCGTTGTTTTGCATTTTTTCCTTTACGCTTTTTTAGATCTCGTCCTTACCATACAGGCTCATATAGTGCTCATTTGTCTAACCTATAATTATTGCCAGAGGGTCTCTATGTGTTTCAGTATCACAGTATTTCGTGAAAAAAAAAACATTCCGATTCATCAAAACGAGGTCGTGTACACGACGAAAAATTGAAATTGAGTGGAAATAGATTCTTATTTACCCTACCTATATAATATATTGAAGCATCTTTAAAGTGTAGGGCAGTGTATCCTAACTCTTATGACTATATCAGCGCATTATTTGTCTTTTGTTTTAGTTATCTTAGTGTGAAAATATAATCTATTACAAAAACGATAAATAATAATATTATTAATTGTATAACCTAACTTAACCTAACCTTCATTTGTATGAATATTGACTCAAAACAATATGAACTATTTTAAACATCGCTTACATTTTAAAACATTTTTTTTTTTAAGTCGAATACAAAGTCAAATAATTATGAAAAAAGAAAAAAGAAATGTCATACCGTCGAAAATATTATTAACTATTATTTTTGAAATAGGTGATTTTACTCAAAGATTACTCAAAGTTCATAAACAATTATTTTAAGTGAAAGCGTTTTATCTATGTTGTGCGTTGGTCTGAGAAGGAATAAAGAAATATTGAGCTGACATCCTATTATAACATTTTTCATACCAACCTCCAAATGATCCCATAATATTATCACAATTAATGATTTACAGTTTATACCGTGTCCAACCATATTTCTCTTAAACTAATACAGTATGCGGACAGTGGCTGAATTAGGTTTTTAGAAATATCACTACAAAATTGCTATAATGGGTTGAGTGTCAAAAATACCAAAACCGTATAAGTTATTTAAAGGGAAAATTATTTAATGTTAAAAGGTGATATTCTTTTTACGAAGTTAAATTTTAATATAACTGTTATTTTGTGTTAATTGTTATTTTATTATAACACATCATTATACACCGTATATGGCAAAGAAAAATGGATTCGAATTACCTTTAAACATTTCGGGATTAAAATGGATATTACTTTGCTAAAAGTTTTTTTTAAATGTATATTGGTGACTATCCCCAGATGCTGCTCTAAGTCTGCTGGCAAAACAAAGTGTAACATGGCTTCAAAAATTTACTCTTTTTCCCCTATAAAAATTTAATAAAAATTATTGATTTTTAAAATATTTTTTAACATGAAAAATATTTTGTTTTTAAATAGGTATAGGAAAAAGTTTTGTGTGTTAGAAATTCTTATTTTACTTACTACAAATTATTTTCTATACACACATAGCAGTGGTATAGCTAGGGAGGGGCTGGTATGGCTATAGCCCACACTCTCCTCGACATTTTAAGAACATTATTTCTATAGTCTATGAAAGGTACTGAAAATAAAAATGTGTGTAGCAGTACTACAATAACCGAAATCTAAGGTAAAACCTCAGTGTCAGAGTGTCAAATATATGGGACCCTAGTTAAACGATCTTGGTGTAAAAAAATCATCAGCGCCAATGGGAAAAAGAAAAATCCTGGCTACGCCATACTGACAAAATAAAGTAATTGAGTTTATGCAGTTCATGAATTTCTGATCATATATTATACCTCTACAACTCTTACGAGTTTACGACACAACCGTTACACCACTGCCAATAATTAATATTATTCAATGACGTGTATGTAGTATTTGATTATTTTCCAAATACCCAATAGTTACCGGAGAGCGAATTTTTTTTGTAAGTCCACCGAATTTTCCGCAGTCGGCGCGGTAGGTAAAAAAAAAAAAACTCTCAACTGCGGTCATCTCCTCCCGGACACACGGGACGGCCCCTAACGGAGCCGACGGTGTGTCTGTGCGTGCGTGTGTGTATACTTTGGTCTTGTGCAGATGATGAGCCTGAACGCGGACGTAATGCCCCAGTACAGGCAAGAGGCGCCGAAGACGCCGCCGCACATCCTGCTGCACTACTGCGCGTTCAAGGCCATTTGGGACTGGGTCATCCTGTGCCTGACCTTCTACACGGCCATCATGGTGCCGTACAACGTGGCGTTCAAGAACAAGACCAGCGAGGACGTGTCCCTGCTGGTGGTCGACTCAATCGTCGACGTGATATTCTTCATCGACATCGTGCTCAACTTCCACACCACGTTCGTCGGGCCCGGCGGCGAGGTCGTGTCCGACCCGAAAGTGATCCGGATGAATTACCTCCGGTCGTGGTTCGTCATCGACCTGCTGTCCTGCCTGCCGTACGATGTGTTCAACGCATTCGACCACGACGAAGAGGTGAGTGTTGTTCTTTGTATAATATCGATTTATATTATGCTATTATAGGTATCCAATATTATCGTTTTACGTATTTTAGTACCAGCTGGTTATTATTTGCCAGGCAAGCAAAATACATTTTTACTTAGGTCATATTATTAGAACATATTATCATTTTTATCAAACGAAAAAATCTTCAGTTCCATCATACATTTATCTAACAGCTGCTTAAAAGTAATACAACTCAAAAATATTTGACATGCATAATTAATTTATGCAGCATGTGTGACTTTGTTTGGGATCCCTAATTGCGATATCAGTTATTTGTAGAAGAACCCATAATCTTTATGGATAAGTTTTCCGTAGCCGTATGTTTGAGTGCTTTTGAAATAAGTTTTTTTTTAACAATAATAAGACACGTTTGGATTACAATTCTTTAATTATAAATAAACATTTTTAAAGAGTACTTTTCTGTTCATTGAAAGGTAGCTATAAAAAACTGTATAACTATTTGAGTTTACTCGTGCGGTTGGAGAACATTGAACTAACTTAAATGTGTAATTTTAATAATAGACAATAATTTTCGAGAGTGTATATTTTATGTTTGTAAGTTACCTATATAGTGTGTTACAAAATGTGTTACACGTGACAAAGTGGACTTGTTCATTCGACACCTGATCAATTTAAATATATTTGTTTTTACTGTTTATGAAGTGTAAGAATATTATGTTGGCGAAGGTATCAAAAACCAAGTACCAGACTAAGAATAAAAAAATATGGAATTATGATGAAAAACTGAATATGATTTGCATACTATAATAATACTGATTGACTTATTTCAATATTATTTATTATTGTCTCTTCTTATACTTACTAACAGAATTTCATATTGAATTCGGTTCTCGAATTTTCATGAAAATTGGGTAATTTTTCTTCAACTATTCAGACCCGAAAAGGTCAATAATAATACAATTGTATTAGTGACTAGTCTAGGTAGGGTTAGGATTTCTATACATTAGTGTATATTTTTTATTTAGTTCAAATGTATTGAGTATTTGAGTGTCAGTTATATCCACGATTCACCTCACACTAAATTCATTCTAATAATTTTTAATGTAAATAATTGTGCATAATATAGTTCCAAAAAGTTTTAAAGTTTTTCAATATTTATTCAAAAAAAAAAAAAACTTAAAATCATATTCGTCTAAATATGTAGATCTATAATAATTGACCTACTTTTCTTCAGATTGATGCAATTTATTATTAATATGTTTTCCGAAACTACTAGACTGCTTTTCATAGACATTGAAATATACATTCGTTAGTATCTGAAGTGGGATAAATTGAGTTCGGCATTTTTAGTTGCTGTCATCAAGTGATTATGATTAATTACTCATCTACCTAAAAAAAAGATATCTTGACAAGAAGAATCTAACTTATAAGCGTATACAGATAAAACTATGATGGACAGATAATTTAAATTTGCATGATACCTTCATATTATAAAATATGTGCGCAATATGTATTTAAAAATTTCGATTTTAAAGATTGGGCTCATAAAGGGATTTCGTTTGGAAAAACGGAAATAAAATATTTTTTTATACATTTATAATGTTTTCATTTGTCACAGAAAATAAAACAGTGATATTATAATTGAATACAAATTAATTAGTGACCTCCCAGCAATTTAAAAAGTTTAATTTACTAAAAATAGATACATATATTCTATTTTATTTTTTTATTTTAGATTCTGAGCGTAACAATGAATGCATTGCATTTTACAATAGTATGTGTGTGTGTTTTTTTTCTATTTACATTTGTGGTAGTAAACATGCTTTTCACATGAATATTGATAGAAAAGTTGATGTACTTGGTGCATTTGGGATTGACACATTTTGAAAATTCCCAGTATTTTTCAAAAGTGTCATCAAAAACAAAAACAAGGGGGAACGGTAATTTTTGCAAAAATCGATTTTATATTTTTTTTTGTTAATCAAAAAGTAATAACCGTAGACTGGAATTTTTCACAAAACATTTATTTTAGGATTTATCATATCTGTTGAGCTATATTTATAGCCTTGAATAATTTTTTTTTTTTAAATCACTGTCGATAAAATGTTTTTCACTTATTGAATGTACTAAATATAAAGTAAAAATTTTATACTATAAAAATTTAACACTGATGGGTAAAATACTTAACTGTATCAATAGCGGTCTATCGTTATATGAAACTTTTAATGATTGACCGAATTTGAAGCATTTTATTTTGTGAACATTTTACCGCGCATTGTATAGAAGGACTCATCCTTTGTTATAAAATGGTTAAATAATAGGCAGAAGTTCGCACTACATAATAATAATAAACAAAATAATTAGTCTTTACTTATCAAATCAAAAGAAAAAAATCGAAATACTTCAACTCGTTGTTCATAATCAAAAATCAGAGGAAACATTATGATGAGATACCTGTAGAGCTGTCTCGAAGATACTTAGAGCCCCAAACTTTGTTAGCAGTCAATTTGGCTATTCTCTGTCTCTTGGAAATCAAAAATGCACACTTAGTCTGCTTTGTTCGACGAGCAAATTAAAATACTTAGCCGAGATTGCACTCGAGATGGCGTGAAAATCTCCTCCAAACACGTCCATGATATTTAAATATTTTAAGGACTTTAAGAGTGCTATTACTACCCTACAGGTGAGTACTGAAATTGTGAGGTATTTTTCAAGACTTGTATCCTCTAGAGATTCGATCGAACAGTCCACTGAACAAAAAAAAAGTTTTTGGAGGTTTTGAATAAACTTTTGAAAAGTGTCACTATCAAATAAGGTAAATACGTTTACCGATTAATTCCTATATATAACATATTTTCCCGAAAGTTCATTGTTGACAGTGACGGTTCGAAATTCCGACCACTGGCCGCATCGAGATGTATTATATTACATAGTTAGCGTGATAATCGTAATCGATTATTTATTTACTACATTGTTTGCGACCCTCAATCAGTGTTCATCGCAATACGACGCCCACAAAAGGCCTATAATAATAGTACGATATCGTGGTTATTACCAGTGGCTCCGATATTGTTTCGTAAAGTCCCACGATTATTTCAACTCGAACCAGTCGTGGTATAATAATGATAACATTGAATTAGTGTCAGATTTGCGTCAAGTCTGAATAACGTAGTTGTTTTTCATTGATTTTTCGACCAAAAATAACAAAAAATATCGGTCCGTTAATCATAAGCACCGCGACCGCGCCACCGATACAAATATCGTTTAAGAATGCTTCCAGTACCACGATTATCTATTACTGCTAATAATAAAAATCTCATGCTCGATCAATCTCCTAGATAAAATACTCCATGACGTACAACATACTAGTCTAGCGTATAATCATATTCTAAAGTATGGCAACAATTTGTAATCAACGGTACGAAAAATACACACTATTAGCAGGTAGGTACTTAAGAAGTTAATGCTTTTAATTCAAAATAAATAGGTACCCACTTATTTCGTGATCTTATACTTAATGTTTCATATCATTTTATATCGAATCGGAATTTATCATGTTAAGTTTTTTCATGGTATATAATAAGTACTTGTATAATAGTATGATAAAATATTTTTTTATATTTCTTGGGTTGAACAAGGTCAATTGTCAACAGATAAATACCCGCATCGTGTTGCATCATTTTGCCTAACAATATACTCGGAAATCTCTGTTATGTATTTATTAAACAAAATAAAAATTTAAAAATTTAAAATACTTTTTTTTCATAACATATTTCAAATGTATTTGGAATGAAAAAAAAAAAAAAATAATAAATACTTATCATGTGTACCTTCCTGTGCATTTTCAATATTAGAGATATTTTTTTGGTATTATGCAAGAGAATATATTGATTTTTACTGACAACTTTCCATGAAAGTCACAAAGACGCTTCATAATACAATAATAATATGTTCTACGTAATGTGTATGTTATTCGTATAACTACAAATATTGACAGACGGGCAAAGTGTTGAAAAAAAATTTCGAATAAAAGTTACTAATATTAAGGATTTGATGCGTGGCGTTTTCAGTGCGTATGTATATTATATTATTATACTGCTCTGAACGACGGACCGCAGTCATCCATCACTCTTGATCGTGAATCCGAGTTAATATTAATATAAATAAGAGTATTATTTACGGCGAGGGTCCCGGAGTGAATAAAAACACACAGTATACAGGGTGATTCACCAATCATGCACAACTTATTTTTATTTTTCAATAATGCAGTTATTACAAATCTGATTTTTTAATTTTTAAATATTGTACTTTAAGACCATATTTTCAACTTCTTGATATTTTTGCACTTCTTAACGAATGTCCTGCGGAAATAGAAACTTATGTTTTTCAAATGTGAACCACAATTATTGAACTATGAATTATTTAGAAGATCATTTTTCTGAAATTTTGGACCTATCAAAATAAAAATTCATAATTACGAGTTGCTTTTGAGTTTTTAACATTGTTTTCTAAGGATAAAATGTCCATAGTAATGAGTTAATAAGACACAGTGATTTGACAATATTGTATAGTCATTAATTTCAATCTATCGATATTAATAATTTATAAAAACAGCTCCAGTATTTATTACACTATATCGAATTTTACATATATTTCATGCTTATGTAAAAAAAGTTCTAAGGACTATTATCCTTAATACGAAAATTACAATAGCTAAGAAACTTCTCATTTGAATTTTGAATATCGTACATCGAAATGTTTAAAAAAAAATTATCCTCTAATTAATTTACAGTAAAAATGGGAGTATTCATTTGAAAAACAGAATTTTTTATCACCACAGGACACTTCTTAAGTAGTACAAAAAAATTCAAGAATTTAAACACATGGTATTTGTCCATTGAGTGTATTTAAAAATTTCAAAAATCGGGATTCCAATGAATTAATCATTAAACGAAAAAATAGGGGTGAGCATGCTTGGCGTGAAACAGTTAGTTTAATCTGCACTAATT